AGCACCGCAGCTGGAGCTGCGAATAGCGTGGCAAGAAATGCCACAACCTCTCCAAGCCGGAAAGCACAACGTTAGTGAGCACCCATCTACGAGTGCTCGGTTCCCGGGTTCGATCTTGCGAGCAACAAGCTTGCATTAGCGAGCAACAAGCTTACACTTTCAGGAAACCCGCTGTGCACTAATAACTACAGGCCGGATTTTCCGAGAAGCCCAGACTTTTTATTTATCTCTTACATTATTCGTGACTGCATTTCAAATAATTTGACTCGTTTCCAGCAAATACTACCCAAGTAAAAATCTCTACCTACAGTTATTCCACTAGAACTGAAAGGGATTCTCGTGAGCTCGCCCAACTGCGCGACTGAGGCCGTTTCTTTGCTAGCTCCAGTTCCAAAGTTGGAACTTCATAGCCATGCAATTTTTATAATTGTTGACAGCCTTCTAGGCTATGAAGAAAGATAGATTTTTCAGGCAGACCACCTTTATAGAGGAGTGCCTTCCGAGGAGGGTACTGATGAGGGCTCTTCACCGAGAGAAGTCGGGTGAGTTTTTTGGCACTTGTCGGAATCAGGTGAGCTGGCAGCTGCGTGGCCATGTAAAACCCAGGTACTGGTCACAAGTGAAGGTCACCCTTGCTAAACCCTCTAGCTGTACTCAGGAAGGCCTCGTTTAGACCGTTCAAAAAAGTTATTCACTTCAGAGGCAAGCATCATTTCCTGCTGGTCTCCCACTTCATCTCAACTGCTATCCATCTCATCTCATCCACAATACTCTACTTATTTTGGTACTTTGCTGGAGACAGGAGCGAATGTGGAAAGAAATCAATTTTTCTGACGAACCTTCAAGGTAATATCGATTGGTGCGCTATTTTCCGGGGCTACTATCACTACTGAGATTTTCTAGCAATTCTTATTGGCATTTATGGTTCAACCGTCCTCGCCAAAGTGGCTCTGCTGGTAAAGCACTTCTGTCATCAACATGTCCCCGCCAAATACGTCACCATCATAACTAAGATGTAAGTGAATCTATTTTTGTTTCCTTCGGGTAGTACAATGGATATTATGTATTCCCAGCTCAAACGTGGACGAACACAGGGAGATTGGTGCTTTTTCATTTTTCCTGAAGATGGTATCAAAACGTGTTGAACCGCGACAATCTTGAGGGCGGAGATTAAACCGTCCTCATAACTACTCCGTCCTCTCATACGATTCGAAGAGGAAAGCACAATAGTGAACAGTCTCCGCCCACTAGATTACCGTGGAGCCCACCTTCACCTCGCTTGTGCTGCTCAGTAAGTTCGAATGCACCAGACAAAGGACTTCTGACTAGCATATAAAGGCATTTAAGCGTAATTTCTCCCACGTCCGGCATTGGTTCATTTACCCGGGGAGCATAAAGGTATTGCTCATCCTTTCTCAGCTGGGGTTCACAGATAAATAAACATTTTCTTTGTTACAGATACGTGCCTTATTTCCCGATAAGTGCGCAGAGTACAAAAGAAGCCCCCGATCTTGCTTCAGCTCTAGCTCAAACTTAGCGCTCTAGCTTCAATATACACAGAAGTCAGCTTCATGTCTCGAAGACGGGCAGGGCGTAGCTGCGCACTTCGTCCGACTGTGATGGCGATTGCGCTGGGTTTCCGTTGCTCAGACAGCACTGACAATTTCTCTGCCTGTTAGATAGAATCACAATTTGTTGTCCTGTTCATAGAGATCCTGCGGAAAGCGTATCACAAACCATGTAATGAAGTACGCAGCCACACCCTCCCTATCCTCGGGATATAGAGGGTAGTTGTGCAACCTTCACTATAAGCGGCAATGTTTGCGTCGCAAGGCAACATATTCCTACTTCACGGAATTTCCACCGCAAAAATGATAATTACATTTCTAGAATCGCCGCAAAACAGTTCCTGCTAGCCGTGATCTGTGAATTGTTCTTGGAGGCGTTGACCACGGTATCAATAAGCGGATGTCTGGCTATACGGAACACGGTCAGTTTGTCTTGACCCTCTTCTATTAGCTATACGCCTCGAAAATATATGAAACGTAGCGGAATAATCAAGTGAAATCAACTCCATCATTATACCCCCCCCCTTATCACTAAACCCGATTTATTATCGTAGATTCATGTCACTATGTGCTTTTCGAAAGTACAAGAGCATTCCTGAAAACGACTGATTGAAGCTAGGGGAGAGATTCATTGCTTGCAAAGCATTCTGTCAAACTCACATTCCCCTGGGGCCCACGGTCTACTTCCATTGAGAACATTCAATAACTTTACCCGCTCTAAACGAGTAAGGTCATCTTGGGACGGACGGACGGAGGGTGTAGAAAACAAAGAGCTTCAAGTCCAGTCTGTATACAAATCAAATTGCTTTAGGTGCCCGTTTGGTCGGCTCGTCTATTCTATATTTTCTCGATCGTGATAAGTTCGATCTTCTTCGCGCTTTCTCACAAACTTCATAAGGCGACTGTGGAGGAGAGCAGCTGATTCATATGCCAGGCAATGCCTAAAAACTCGCTCTTACACTCGATCCCATTCAGGACAAGGCAATACCACAGAATACAACCGGTTCGACAGCACACAATTTCTGCACTGTTTTTGGAATATGTTAATAAAGAGAACTGGTATACCGACGCATGTCTAGGCCTTTGTTACGTACACCCGTTCCAGTGTTTCAACGTTTTTGGGTGCGGGGGCAAACTTTGGAGCAAAAAGGTCACGTTTTCTGTTCCAGTGATTTTCAAATTGAACATTGAAGCGCTTTTTACCTGATGACTGCAATGTGATAGAGATGAGACATATCTTCAAATCCATCCGGAAGTGCCACGGCTTTCATCAAAAGTTCTAAGATTTTATTCAGAGGATAAATGGAAAAGTGAACGGTTTGCAGTTGTTAACCAGCCAGGATCTGACCCTGGGGTTCATTGAAGGAGATTTCCGCGATGACCTATGAAAATGCAAGAGGTTATGTGGGAAGGTAGTGCGGTCCGGAGTGGACAACCCTGTGCCAGTTTCGCGGCGGAAAGTTGTACGGTAAAGGGATTAAGGCGCAAAGTTGCTTCAGTGGTACATCCCTTTTTCCAGTGACTCCGCCTCCAGACTCCGCCTCCAAAGTCGGCCTTCCAGCCAAAAGTAATGCTCCCGGGCAAGTATCATGGAGTGGATGCATTCAGTGTCTCTTGTAGAGTCATAGGGTTCATTACTGGGAATCAGCCGACGGGAATTGTCCCAGCGCGCGGTCTTTTCGGTCTTTTACCTCTACAGTTGTTTGAGGCTAGAGGAGGCCTGACGAATGCGTTTCCAACGTTCCCTTTGGCATTTTCTCTTCATAGATGGTTCACTTGGCAATTTTCTTCCACATTTCTGCAAAATCACCTAGGCTTTTATCTCGGACTGTGCCTTTACGCGCGTTCGCAGCATGGAGCAGCCTCCTATACCGCAGTTGTATGAGAAGTGGAGAGACAACTATGCATCACGTGAAGCAGAAGAACCTTCTTGGAAAATTTTGCACGTTATGAACAAAGTATCTTCTGATATATTGCCGCACAGAGAGTCGAGGGAGGAGAAGAGTAGGAGCAACAGGTACATACTGCAATATTCAATGCTATATTGGATCACACCTGGCTACGGTCCTATCCGCTGCCCCGATTCTCGCGCCCCTGAGATTGTTGCAAACTCTTCTTGGCAAGCTAAATCATCTCTCGTCCTCAAGATGGAGGCTCTTGTAGGGTGCAACCCTCAGGATTCTCAAAAAAAAGCCACACATTCTTGAGGGTCATAGGCGCTCCGCCTCTTTGAGTGTCTACTGAACAAACGAGGATGAACTGAAGCGGTAGCATTGAGTCACTCTAGGGCTAGGGTGTCATTATTAAGGGCTAATGTAAATGGTCAGGTAACCTGCTTAGGCATACAGGGATCGAAAGGAAACAGGTGAAAAGGAAGCTGAACGCAAGCAACCACGATGCAACCATCAAGAAGAGCTCAAAGAACAGCTTGATCAACGCCATCAGGATAAGTCGTATCAAAATTGAGCCCATGGCAGAATTGTCACATAGCAACAAAGAGGAGCAGGTCTAGCATGAGCCAGTGAGTCCTGCAATGGCATAGTATTAGCGCAATGGAGGAAGAAAAAACACGGCTCTTCACCCGGACTCTGCGTTGTTGGCTCTCAGTCGATCTTTCGCTCACTGGGAATTCCTCTACAGTGTCCAAAGTTACAGTGACCTATGGAGATCTAATCCTACTTACTCTCAACGGTTTTCTTCCGCTTTTCTCACTCACTGAAGTACACGAAAAGACAATGCAAGGCCAGCTCAGTTTGGCCATTCTGCACGCAAATGAGTCATCTTAGCGGTCACAGGGCCAGGACCGTCTCCGCTCCCGATGCTTTTGCGGGGACAGGGGCACCATGGCAGTGCCAGGACCAGAGTTTCATCTTCTCAGGCGGAGCTCCGCTGGTAACTAATGATAAGGATCCATAAGCCGCCTAAATGATATTCGATCTATGAACCATACAAGGCTGTCGTGGTTTCGGAAGTCACGCACCTTCTTTTCTACGCGACACGTGAGCGTCGGGAAAGAACGAGTTGTCATGACTGGCCAGAGGTTTTCGACATTTGAAAAAAAGATTATTATTTGAGATGAATCTAGTTCAATTTCGCAATTCAATTTGGTAATATTTGAATAACCTTTGATGAAATTCTCGAATGAATGGGGTTGATGTGAAGTGGTCCCCATCAGTGACTGGGAACCTTTTGAATGGACAACAGATTGCAACAGATCTCAGTTGTTCTTCGGAAACATTACTTCAAAATCCAGACTAAGCTCGCAAAGTGATTGATCTGTAGCTAATCTATACCTGATTTCTGGAACCGGTTTCAGGCGCCCCCAGGTGTCACGACGACGGAGATGAGACAATCGGGAGATAGTCAGTCGGTCATCCGCTTTGCAGCTGATGTTTCGCTTTTCTTCGCTTTTTCTGCTGTTTAGCCTCGTTAATGCCGGTGAGTTCATGCATTGTTCATTATAAAGTCGTAGGAACGGTTGATCCGACCATTACCTGCTAGAACCTAGCGAATAATCCACGTCTGAATACCCATCACAATTAGGAGACCATCAAATTAAGGCGCTCTGAAGTGCATTCTTCTGTTCCCTCTGTATAAAAAAGAAGACCTACTCCAGGAGTTTCCACGGGCTTTAGACAGACGGCAAATTCTTTCAAGCCGAACTTCATCGGCACAATTGTATCCTTCCCACTTACTGCTCTTGAAAGAAAGCCAACTGCTCTTTGAACTAAAAAACGAACGAAGTAATTACGGACCTTGCAGATCTGGTAGATGTGGCCTGCGAGAGAAATCCTTCGTTGGCATACTGTGGAACAAGACAAATCAGACGAAAGGAGCCCGAACGACCACAAGATCCATTCGAGGAGAAGTTCGAACCAGCTTCAGAGAAGGTGGGCCGTCCTGAAAACTTTTGATAGATAATGAGGTAGTTACGGTTCGGAATCGCTTTCCTGACACCTTACAATTCACAATGAGGGATAGGGTATTTGGTGGCGCAACCTGACCCCGAAGCAAAGGAAAAGCAAAGAAACCATCGATAACGCCTTCAATAGGTTTCACTTTCGGCATTGATTTTCAGCAGTGAGCGAACATTGACAAAAGACTAAGAGCACGGACGAGAGACCAGACGACGAAGGGCAAAACGGAACTTGGAAAAGCAAGGCTGCACTTTTTAGGCAGCACAACCCTCACACCCTTTTAGAAATTAGCGGAATTTCTTTGCGGACCAGCAGTCTGACCCTACCATCTCCATCAGAGCCACAACTCGGTAGTCCAGGGTTCCGATTCAATCTTTCTTCCACCACAGAGACTACAGAGGTGGGCTAGGGACGACAGACAATTTCTAATTTCACTGTTCTCTCCGCTAAAAGAACTCTACCTTCCTCTCTCTTTTCCCCTCCTTTTTTGACGTATTCCAGGTATTCATTCAAAACCGGTATAATAAGAATTGAACGTTATTCGGTCCCATATGACGTAGAAGGAATTTCTATATATTGACTCCCGTCCTTCATAGAGATTATTTCAGGAATCAGGCCATAACGAGGAAGACGAAGATATCTCCCTAGAACTCGAAGAGGAGACGACTACAGCTCGGTGAGTTTTGCTGAAGCACCCTTACGATTAGTGTTCTAGCTGGAACAATCGAAACATGTTCACTTTTTAGACCCCGTCGTTCAACAACTCCGGTACCTCTACCACGACAGAATCACCTTTACACAATATTTCCCACGTTACAAAAGGAAGACGATTGGAGAAGGTGGGTGCAGCTTTAAAATTGTCCATGGCGCCCAGCTGAGCGCATGACGAGTGGAGATTTCTGGTCCGAGAAATTTTTGGATTCGATATTAATCGTTTGGCAGTTGACCACAACAACGATCACACGGCGTTCCAATCCTGTGAAGTCTGTGGGACCGGATTTGGTCAAATGTCTTTAATGTTTTGGTCCAGGTCCAGATTTTGATTAATCGGCTATCATCACGTTCGGTTCATCGGCCCATCAAAGGGTTTCCCACTAGTGGAACTCTCCAATGGAATATGATAAATTTAAAATGAGATGATCCACCAACACTTATAGGGGCTGTTTGTCGACGGGGGCATTTTGTACTATCATTGGTCCCTCAGTTCCGGTTTACATGTCTCACTCTGGCGAAACCTGTGAACTCTTGTGAAGCTGGAACAAGGTAATCAAGCCACCATGTTAAAACCTGTCAACTCGAGAGAGGCGGTCAAGATAGGTAGACACGTCCATGTGAAATAGCAGGTGCAAAATGCCTCCCCCCCGTCGACAAACTGCGTCCACTTAGTACGGTAAGCTTTCTAGTGTGACCTACAACGCGGTTCGCCCCTAAAAGAGGAAACCTTGCACCTCCGTAGCCTCCAGACGCAGGAACCAGCAGTAATCCTCCATCTCAGAACAAAGTCTTCTCTAGCAAAAGACATAAAAAGTACACGCGACATGAAAATCCAAGCCAAGATGTAAAAAGAGCCCCGTGTGACAGAAAGTCCTTCCAGGTACTGCCCAGTCAACCAATACACTTTCCAAGTGACTTGTCTACCCGGGAAAAAGCTAAGATATGATCTCCAGGTAAGGAACAGTTTAACATAATCACTATGAGCCTTATCTCATCCTTTATACCTATCTGTAATTCCTCTCAGTTCACATAATACTTGAACCTGCTCAAATTTCGATGTTTATTTTTTGTTCCGAAAACTAAGATCCCAAAAAATCCTTAGGAGTTCTCAGGCCTTTCGCCTTCACCTCAGTTTTTTTTCTCTTGAAACGCCAGCGTCAATGTGGTAGGCGGAGGCACCGCTACGTTATCCACACCTAGCCCGAGGGTAAAGTTTGGGCAGGGCATGTATGAGATTTTTACAGAAGTTCTCGCCTCTGGCAGCACCCCTTCCGTCGCTCTAAATAAATGTTGCCGAAATTATCCCACTCTGTATTTTGCCGCGGAGGTGAGGGGTTAGCGTGGCGGATAACGCCCGTGTGAGTCATGAAAGTTGAGAGAAACAACGTCCGCAAGTGTTCGTCTCGAAGACAAACACGAACCCTGGCTTGGAACCCTGATATACGATGTGCCTCTGTGTTTTTTTGAGTCAAATTTTGTGATCAGCTAAAGCGCTTGAACCTCTAAGGGACCATCTATCAGACCCTTTAGTCCGCGCCAGTTTTTCCAATCCCTAATAATAATAATAAAGTGGAGGCGCAAATTCAGAACCTCTCCCCCCCACTGCCAGCAGTGGTAGGCCCAATTGCTTGGACATGTCACAACAGAATTCTTTTGAGAAGAAAAGGAATACGTGGCGTATTTCAGAGGGGAAACCCGAAGAAATCTAGTGCCCTAACAAAAACATTCCGCTGGCAGCTTGTTCTAAACTTCCGTTCCTCTTGTAAGTTTATGTAAGCCTTTGGGTTCCTTCCTTCAGAATCTTCTCGACTCTGTTTTCTGTTATCCCCGGATGTTCCCAACGGACTAATACAGATTGAAAAGCGGATATAGGTTTTTCAGGTGAACTCAGTTTACCCACGAAAAACCACTGCTTACTGGAAAATATTGTCCAACGACTCTAAGCAACCAACCACGCCGATTGTACGGGCAGAGAGATGGAGAGCCATTGTACATTCCGTGAATGTCTCTTTTTCGCCCAAATCAACCCAGTGCTTGATTAGCCACCGTCGTGGCAGTATGTATGTATATATTCACGTATAACTGAATAAAGGTTGGCAGATTCTCTGCCAAGAATTTTCGGAGAAATGTGGAGTGCCAAACGTTAATCTCTACCCGAGTCGTCACGCCAACCCAGCGGACGAAGGTCGTCCAAAGGGTTACGGTCAAAAACAACAAAATGGTCAACTCGGCCTTGGAAGAAGCTGGGCATTCGGATTGGGAGCTATACTTGGTCTGCTTACTGTTTTTTTACCAGTTTACCCGGTTCTTATTTATAGTATCCTGTGTTGTGTGAGAGGAGATGAGAGGCGTTGTAAAGTGGCTCCACTCCAGATGGTTTAGGGGCCAAATTCGAGGTCGAGTCCTAGTCTTCATCCAGCCAGCCATATTTGGCTGGAAAAGGGAACCAAGGGGCATAGAGGGATTGTGGAACAAGGGTCGGGCAAAAAGACTAACCTATACCTCGTCTGGTGGCCGCAAGACGTTGTTTGGGTGCTATAGATCTTCAAATGCCACTACATTTCGTAATGACTTTCGGGTACATGGCATATCTTACTTAGGTTAACATATGAAGAAACGATCGATTCCTAACTGAAAATTAACACAAATTTGCAGGGTTCGAGGTAACATCCAGCCAAGGAACAGATATTGGTGCCGGAAATCTTCCATTTCTCAATCAGGTACTATTTTTAGCACTCAGCCTGGCTATCCATAGTGCGCGTCGGCCTTGCCGCATTGCCTCTGTTCATTGGTGCACTCCCGTGTAAAAACGCTGAAGAGTGGAAACGAACGAGGATGGGAAAAGGCTCTCGTTGGTAGACCCGTCTCCGCCGACACGGCTAGCCTTCACAACCCCCGCACACTTATTTATCCCTTATTATGGGCAGCTTTGAAGGTATGTGCGATAGGAGTGATCCCAGTTACGGACCATATAAGCAGGTCGGTAGTAACGACTTAGATTTGGTATTTTTATGCGCGACATTTCCATAGTTTAGTTTGACGCTTTTACTTTACCAAATCGCCTTTCTCTTACCATTAGTAAGCCCTAGTATGAATGCCGCCCACGCGAATACCCTCGTGGACTACTTTTGGCGCGCTCTGAAACTCGGATTCCAGAAAGCCATTCTACAGAAATGCGGATTGTCCTAGTCTAATGAGTCGTAAGCTGTATTGGGCTGAACCAACCTAATGCAATCCTAAGTTAGCCACAATCTGCAGCCATTCCAATCACATAGAAGCGATTTGAGCGAGCCCAGTTCGGCATTGAATGGGGGCATTAGGTGCTTGAGCAAGTATGTAGCAGGGGTTAATTGAACGATGAAAATTTGTGAGCTCCTGGTGGACCTGTTGTGTCACTTGTAGCATTCGCACGCTTCACAAAAGTTTTAGCAGTTTCTTACCACAATAATATCTGTCAAGGTTTAATGAGAGTTAGCAGATGAGACAAGCGAAAGAGCAAGGTGCCCTTCCCAAGCCAAACGGCGCCCAGCTTTTTACGAAAAGTTCGATATTATAATGTTCAAGTATCGTGGGCGATCAATGGGCTCAACCATGGAAGTGAAATTGGAGCTCTGGGACACAGAACTGGCAGAGGACCTGCACGATCACTGAATGCTCTCACGCACGGGTGAGGGACCTTTTCTCCCTCATTACTCTATTTTTTTCTGTAATTACACGCCTCTTTTCTAGTAGTTGCAAAGCGCCATAGATCCAGCAAATTTCATAGTCGAATGGGGTATTTCCCGTACGGGTGTACGTTCATAGTAAACAATCGGCGATCCCGCGACAATGGCGACTCTGCAATTGGTGATATAGAGCGCCCCTCATCACATCTGTGTGTATTTTGATCACGATTTCTCTCGCTCCGTCGCTTACCGCCAGACCGCTTGGGTTGCGCGATTGTTGATCGTCGGGTATGAACGAAACCTAACTTCTAATCTTTTTGAGTCGTTCTCCTATTTAATTCAAATTCAGCCTCCTCCTTTCCTGGGAATTCCGCCGAAATCATGGTATAACTCAGAGCGTAACGCAAAAAATAACCCTTAACCCAATTTCTGGGCGCTGTAGCGATTTTCAGGCTGAACTCGCTCACGCCAACAGCGCCGCCTTCCTTCTTCCCAACAAGAATTGAGTTGAAGGCCCATATGACCACTATAATAAGGGAGGAACGAGAACCAAGTACTTCCAAATGCCGATCAGATTACCAGTGAAGAAAAGAGTGAAGCAAATCATAGGTGCCCTACTTAAGGCCCGATCATCATTGCACAGGCTTTCGAAGAAGCGACTGTGCGAGCAAGAGATTCCACACAAAAATGAGAAGACAGAAGGACGAGTGAGCGACAATGGCTCGGTCCCACATGGAACGAACAGCGTCTCACAGTTGTGTTTGCAGACACGGAATTGCCGGCACATCTCGTCTCCATATATAGGCGGAGCACGCGCCTGTGGTAGCGCATCCTTCGCTAATGTGAGGGAGGGAGCACTCCTGCTCACTAACGCATAAGTTGGTGGAGCCGGTGGAAGTGTGACAGTCGTATGAAACTTTGGACCGTATACTGAAATGATAGAAGTTTCACCTACAGGGAGTGTGTCTTTAGGGCCCACCTTATGTTGGTTGTTTGGGCGGAGACAGGAAACCGCTTGCGCTTTCCTTCATCGGTCTGAAGGTAAAGGCAGTGGATGACTGCTCCTGCCCCATAACATGAACGAGGACTGCGCACATAGGCATATGTAGGCTACCTGTGTGAGCTACCTGTCAGGAAGAGAAGAAGGTTTGACACATCTTATTGGTAACAGTTACCACCTCATCTTATTGGAAAAAAAGAGAAAAAATGTTTAAAGAATTATAGCTGTTAAAATACTATATAAAATCATGAAAATTGTATTATTTATTCTTTACTCCTTGAGCAACCTTGAGACAGCAAATGTACGAATTTCTGAAATGACTACTCTCCTTATTATTCCAGATATCCCTCATTTGGTCTCGCTGGGAGCGCCAACGAACGGCGACAAAAAGCTCAGCCAGGAAGTGCTCAACTCTTTCGGCATACCAAACATTCCTGCACTTAAAAATTGTAATATTTCTCCTTCTCCTGCCACAATCCTTGGCATATCTCTAGCAAAACATTTCAGTGTTCGGAAAACTCGGTGGAAACCGGCCAAAGAAGCCTGTAGTGGGCTACGAACCAGGCTATGGTGCAGTGAATCCCAATGCTCCACTTGCCATCGGAAAGGTACAATTTTTGATTGCGTGCTATTGCTTCAAAGTGTGAAAAAATGATGAAAAAGGGGACTGAAAGGGCACTCCTGAAAGTGAGAGATTTGGCAGTACGGTGGATCGCTGCCGCCGCAACCCAGGCTATTACTGGAGCTCCCTCCCCTCGCCTCTAGTGCACGCCAAGGGTGTTGCGGACGCCAACGGGATGGGTTGATGTTGTGAAAATGACAGACGCGCAAAGCCAGAGGAAAATGAGAAAAACTGCTGGAATAAAAAGTATCTGGGGATCAAAAGCTCTCTAAGTCAGTAGCATACACGTTCCCACGCCCACGGCTAAGTCCATGAACATGTCCCCTCCGACACCAAGATATGGACTGCATGCAGTACAGGTCCCGTGAAGTTACTCGATTGCGGTTTGAATAGGCTCCTGGTAAAAGGTTACCTATGCAGATAGCGCCACACTTGACGGACAAACTCTCAGGTACAGAATACTAGTATATAAGTTGATGAGAGATGGGAAATACGAGATTGTTAGCTGATCAAAATAAAATTTTCTCTGTTTCAGACCGATGTTGACGCCATCAACCTTCCAGGAGGTTTCGGTGACGTCGAAACGCTCAAAGGAGGCGGATTCGGTTTTGGAAAATAGGATCCTCTTGTCTTATTGCTTCTCCTACTTTTTTCTTTCTATTTATGAATTATTGCAATAGTTCATTTGCAATTGTACTCTTCCTAAGGGACAAATAGCTTTACGCAACATTATTGCTTCTGGTATTATGTTATCCTCCTTGGACTTGGCGCTATGTCGCGGAGAAAGCCAGTCTGCAATTTCCCGGAAGGGTTACTGTAGCCGACAATTACTACGAGGGGAGCTCCCACTTGAGTGAGCCAGTTAACTAATGTGGCTTTTCACACATAATAAGTGGCTCATGCACCATGCAACCCCTCTGGAGAAAAAGATGACCACTGTAGCTCTCCCGAGAAATTGCAGACTGGCCCCTTCTGAGGCGCATTCTGTCTTGAGATTCATCTACGCTTTTCTGCTGTTAATCTCACCTATCACGCTGTTTTATCTAGGTACCCTATTTTTTAGCGCTACAAGTTACAACTCGACAGGAATCGGAATGTGCTAAAGCTTCTGGCTGGGCTTCCGAGTCCTACTGGGAACTAAAGCCTTTGTCTCCTTCAACAAGAGCACCCCTCCAGCCTATTGTGATTCCTTCTGAGCATTTAGTAATGTAATAAATTGTTCAAACATTTCAAATAAACAAAAATGTTTTTATGGGTTTAAATGAGTGAGCACACGATGTTTCGGAGTATACTGGCATTTGTGAACGACCTACTAGCCGCTGGAAGCTTTTCTGTTGATTCACTAGCCGGAAAATTGATTGAATAAGCTTATAAAAAACATAATAGGGTCTAGGGTATCTTACCGGTCAAATGGTTGTCACTTATCCCTCCGCTTCTCCAAATCAAGCTATCGTCCGTTCCCGAGTCTATAACTTCTGTAAAGGCAAAAAAGGCAGCAAATTGTCCGTTTCAGGATTAACCCATTTTTCTTCTTCATTCATGAGCTTAGGCATTTTGAAAGCCTCCTAGAATTGCTTGAGCCCAACGTGTTCACCCCTCATGACTCTCGTACGAAAAAACCCTCTCCGGGATGGTACTTGATCAACTCGGAGAGAGTGGACACGGGATTAGACCGACGACCCGAGAAACTGTTAAAGCGATGGCACTTAGGCTCATAGTATGTCCACTAAAAAGGAAAACAAATAGCCTTGTTGGCTGCGGATGCTGAGGCGTATAATGGCTAGGAGGGGCGCAGGGCCACCCGTTCTCTGTTCTCCACCAACAGTGAAACGACCGAAAACGGGCTGAGTCCTATTCCCCCCCCCCCCTTACTGCTGAAACGCCCAGTATCCACATGGATCAAGACTGTGTGAAAGCTGTCTTCCCTGTGTGTCTTCTGTTTTCTGTCTCCCATCCCATGTGTGTCTTCTGTCTTGACCTCTCATGCTAAATGGTTAAGGGATGACTCTGCCCAAACAGATTCAGGGCGCTACTTCAAAGGGTGGAGCACTTCGTTAATTCACAAGTTTCTCAGTTCCTCTCACCTTTATGAGAGTTATAAGCATCTAAAGGTTGCAAAGTAGTATGGGCGTAAGCTACTTCCTCTGACTGAAGCTTCGTAAGTTTTTTTTGATAGCAAATATGTAGTGGGTAGTCGACAAAGATGAGCAATTTCAACATTGCCTTTTCCATTCAATCGGGTATTAGGACTGATTAGAAAGAGGTGAATATAAAGAAAGGCAGCTGTGCCTCTTACCAGTAGTGCAGCTCGAACGTCAATCAAATGATTCAAAGATGAGAATTTTGATTGGGTAAGTGTGCAACACTGGACATCTTGTAGTTTTGATGAGGACGATTTCAAAAAGCCTTCACGAAAGATGTCATATCAAGCCGACATTCGCACCATCACGCTTTTCTGCATATATCTGCCCTCAGTCCTGACGGATCTTTACACCTGTAGGAGGTCTCGAACACCAGTGTGACTTGCCGAATCGCCATCTATTTCAGGCTCAAAAAATTCAACTGAATTCTGAAGAACATGGACGAGCATAACATGCGGGAGGAGATCAACGGCCCCTGGTCTGCACGGTCAACATAGCGCACTCCCTTCCCTAACCGGAACGCCCTCGCGGGTGGTTCGGCAACGTATGAAAGATAATGAAAGGTGGGCACTATTTCTAAAGCACAGTAACCTCCTCCACCGTATCCAACAATTCGACAGAGCACGCGAGCCGAACAATAAAATTCGACATGATTGCCAAAAAAGGCGTTATGCGCTTGGTAGAATTATGAGGAGAAAGCGAATGGAATGGCTGAGGATGGCTACACAAAGAGACTTTCTGGTGTCGCAGCAGAATACGGCGGCTACAATTGAAATGCTAAATAATTTCATCTTCATGGCAACTGGCTCTTTTGAACGGAGTTAATTCTTGACCATGAGGAAAGTAGAACTACTGCGCGAAACTGAAAGCTCATTCGCAGAAGTTTGGTGAATTCCGGACAGGAAGTGACGCTATCAGCTGTTTTTGACCGTTTGGGGAAGAGATGCTGATAAGGACAAGTGCGACGGTCACATACTTGTGAACAGACACGAAACCTCAGTAGACACAACAAATAAAGACAGCAAATAAATAGGTTCCAAGAAGTGCTAGGCTGATTGCGATTACAGCATCAAACATAGCCTATTCCTTCACGGTGACCCAGCGACAATGACCGGAATTCGACGAGGAAGCAGCTTTTCCGACAATTCCAAGGTGATGTTCATTCGTGGATGATTTGAGCTTTACAATTTCTTGTGGTCCTTCTGTGCTGTGACTGGTCGGCTTTAAGGATAACTTGCGACTTTTCTTCTCGTTTATAGGACAAGTTTAAGTAACTGCTAAAACGACGTGCCCACTTATCGTTCTGTTACCAACCATTGACCAGAAATATGCAGTCGCACTGGGCTCTAGCCTAGCTATCACTATGTCGAGCCTAATAACCCGAGTCCAACAGGGATATCTAGTCTAGTCATCCCTGGGCCGAATCCAGAGGATAATCGAGTGCCTTTTCGGAACCCTCATTTTTAAGTGAAGCTTCTCTGGAAAACATAACGTCCAATTTGTGCAGCACCACTGAGGTCACTCCCCTATGAGATCACCGTAAACAGCTGGTGCTGCCAAAAGCATACCAGAAGATGCCAGCGAGGTCCGCAAGCTGGAAAGTACAAGCCACTGACAATAAGCACCCAGCCGCATGTGCTCGTTCCCTCGATCTTGGGAGCAACAAGCTTGCAGTCTTAAGAAGCCGGCTGGACGCTCATTATTACGGACCGAATCTCGACGAGCCTCACTGCTTTTCAAATGAACCCTTACATCATTCGTGGCCAAATTCCAACCGATTTGCAATTTTCCAGTACATACCCTTCAAATAAGAATCTCTACCTACAGTTATTCGGAATAGCGTTGGAAGGCCGCTCCTATGATTTTTGCTTTTGCAGCCAAGCAAACAGGGCACCGAACTACGGGAATTGAGCCAGCGCACTACTAGCTCGCATTCGTACGCAATTAACCTTATAGAGCTTCTGATATCTATATTTATTAACAGGTTTCTAGATCAGATTAAACCAATATATACGAATTTTAGCCAGACCACCTTCATAGAGGAGTACATTTCGAGGAGGGAGCTCACGGAGGTCCTTCGCCGAGAGCTGTAGGGTGAGTTTTAGGCCAGGTGGCAGCTGCCTAGCCATGTAAAACATGGGTATTGATTGGAAGTGAGGGTCACGACGCCTGCTGAACCCTTCAGCCTACGTCGGCTGTGTTCTCAGAGAGGCCTCATTTAGACCCCTTCAAGAATTTTGTGTTTTTTGCATCTCATCCGTTCTACTCTACTTATCATGGCACTTTGCCGATGGTGAATGTGGGGAGACGTCAATTTTTCTGACGAATCTTCAAGGTGAATATTGAATAGGTACGATTTTCGAGGCAACCGGCACTATTGATAATTTTTAGCAATTCTTGTTGGCATTTATGCGCTAACTGTCCTCGTCAAATTGGCTTTGTTGATCAAACACTTCTGTCATCTACATATTCCCGCCAAATACGTCACTATAATAACCACGACGTGAGTGAATCTGCCCTTTTTTCTTTCGGGTTCTTATAACAGATCTTACATGCTTTTAGCTCAACTTGAATAAACACTAGGGAAGAGAAAGGAATGAGTGCTTTTTCATTTTCCCCAAGAAGCAATCAAAACGTGCCGTTCCGCGACAATCGTGACGATGGAGGTTGATAACCATTGGGCCTCCTTCATCAATACGCTCTTCTTCATAACATGGTAGACAGCAGTGATGCACCAATGAGGAAAGCAATTCGGTCAACTGTTCCCGCCCACCATGTTACCGCGGAGCGCGCCTACGACTCGTGTAAGTGTTGCTCAGTTCCTTAGAATGCACCAGGCAGAGGACTTCTGACTCGCAGATCTGGGCGTTTGAGAGCATATATCCCTCCATACAACTTCGACACCAATTCGTCAATTGAGGGAGCATAGAACAAGCGCTCACCCTTTTCGAGATGGGGAACCATGAATAAATAAACACTCTTGGTTAAAATACGTACTTAGTTTTCCGGTTAGATTGGTCGGAGCTCAAAAGGAAACCACGACCTTCCTTCCGCTCTAGCCCAGACTTCAGCGCTCTAGCTTGTAGTAAACTTCATATCTCTAAGACGGGCAGGGGGTGGCTGAACGAGGTGGCGATTGTGGTGCGCTTACATTTCTGAGACAGTTGTAATAATTTCTTTGTTCACAAGATGGAATCACAATTGTTGGGATGTGGACGGTACACATCTCACGGCGACAAAATCCCGCTTCCGGGAGTTCTCATTTCGAAAATTATATTTACATTTGCAGAATTGCTGCAAAACAGTTTCTGCTAGCCGTGATCTGTGAAGGTGTTCTTGGAGGCGTCGACCATGGTACCAAGAAGCGGATGTCCATCGATAAGGAACACGGTCTGTTTGTCTCGACCATTTTCTCATAGGAATACACCTCGGAAATATTCGAAATTTCAGCGGAATAGTCGAGCGAGATAAACTCCAT